GTCCCTGTTTTTTGCTCTCTGGGTTTTTTTTGGTTTTTTTTTGGAATTTGTATATTCTGCACAGAATATTCCTGGGTGACCAAGCTTGTCTGGATTGCAGCTTTGTCCCTTTGGGCATGAGAAAGCACACAGATGTTTGTGTTTTCTACGGTGTGCCTAAGCGGCTTTGACATAAGGAAAGCATGAGAAGGAATGGTTTAATAAAAGAAAAACAACTCTGTGAACGAAATACTTCAGCTCTTTCTATCCCTGGGTGGATTGACATCTAGCCTACAGGAGGAAAGTGGGGCTTTTCCGCCTCTACTGCAGGTTCCACGTCTCAGCTGGAAGTGCTGAAATGTCCTCCAAGGCATGCTTGAGCTATTAATACCTTCTGTTCTGATGCCAGGCTATTCCTAATTAGCCTTTTACAGATGACCACAGCTACAGCTGAATGATTTCATGGATTTCAGGGTTAATCTTCCCTCTGACATATTCATCCTACCCAGGAGCTGGCCCTTGGGGAGGAGGAGGAGTCAGAAAAGCCAGGAAAAGCTGAAGGCTGGTGTCATGTTTGTTAAACAGATGCAGACAAGTATCCACTGGCATACTGGTTAGTAATAGGTTCCCCAAGCCACTCCAGTAAGAAAGGAGGCCTGGCAGAGGTAGTTACAAGATAGATGATAAAACCCTAAACTGTGTGTGAGAGGGAGAGACAACTGGTTTGGCAGGATTGCTTGCTTTTGAGAAAGAAGAATTCATCCTTTTATAGATTGGCAGAACTACATGTGTCCTTTCATGATAAAATTATGTACTCCAGGTACATCAATTCTTCCAGCTTCTTTTTAAAATATACAGCTAAGTTGGGACGTACTGAGAAAATAGAAATACTGGCTGGACATCCAACCAGTGTGCGTGAGATATCTGGCTTTATGGACCAATAGGGTTTCCTGACAGTTTGATAGATTACTCACAGTATATTATATAACATATACATAAATATAAAAAGGAGATTTCTGAGGAGTCAAAAAGATGCCCATCATGGTACATGATGAAATATGCTCCTTTGAATTAGAGCTATAGCAGCAAGGTTTCAAGCAGTCAGTTGCAATCAGCTGCAGTCAGGCTTGACAAGGCTCACAGGATGCAAGCTCCTCTAGAAACTTCTATAGAATTATAATGCTGTAGTTAATAAAATAGATATTTAAAATAGAATAGCCAGATAAATTAAAAGGCCTAATTTAAGCTGGTAGGGGGAAGATGAAAGAAGTTCTGCCAATAAAAAAAAACCCCTGCTTTTCTTCAGATGCTGCCTTAGGAATTTGCCCGAGAGGCAAGTATTATATGCCTTAAATCCCTCTTAGCCTTGAAATGACAGCTATTGAGACATTTACTTGTACGCAGAGACCAGATTAAAACCTTTACTTCCTCAGCCTAAACCGCAGTCATGTCATAATCATATTCACTTTGCACACACACCCCTGTGACGTAGACTGAGATGATATGAAACTTTTATTGGTACAACCTGTGTGTGAGTTATTCACTCGCCATAAGCGAGAGCTTAGAAGATGCATTTTTTGCAAACCATCCTGACATTGCTGCTGCATGCACAGTACCACCAGGGTGGTACAGGGTCTCTGCGTGGGGTCTGTAGCTTCAGGTTTGTTTTATGTGTATCTCTACCTCTCTGCTGCTAATGCCTGTTATTTCAGGCATCCTCATACTTTCTGTAAGGACCTAGGGGAGAGGAGCTGGAGGAGAGGATATGCTGCTGTATCTATCAAAAGTAGCTGAAAGCGGCTTTTCTAAAGTGAAAACAGCCACAGCTTTAAAATGTATTACCTGCGTGTGTCTCGTCATTTTGGAGAGAAGGAATGTTTTTTCCTGCTCTTTAGATGGAGTGTGTGTTCTTTAGAAGGCGTGATTCACATGTGGAAAAAGAAAAGAAAAAGGTAGAAAAGCCCGTGTTTACACCTGCTATCGCCAAGTCATGACACAGGAAACAAAAAAAACCCCAGCACAAACCCCACCAGCCCTTTCCAGGTGAAGGGGAGCAGCGGGCAGCCCTTTCCCGCTGGTCTCTCACAGCCGCGCCGGGGAGCCCGGCGGGACCTCGGGGTTTTCTCTCTCCCGGTCGGGGACGGGGCCGGGCCGTCCCGCCCGCCCGACGGCGGCTCCGCGGCGGCGGCCGCAGGTGCGCAGCTGCCCGCGCGGTGGCGCCCTCCGCTCACGGACCGTGCGCGCCCGCGGGGAGCGGCGGGGGAGCCCCAGCGCTGCGGGCCGGGGGGCGGCTGTGGGTGACCCTTTTCCCAGGGGGAGCCGTGGGGTGACCCTTTTCCCAGGGGGAGCCGTGGGGTGACCCTTTTCCTATCGGAAGCGGTGAGGTGACTCTTTTCCTACCGGGAGCGGTGAAGTGACCGCTTCCCCGGCAGCCCCGCCTGGCGCCCTGCCCTGCCCCGTTCCCTCTCCTGTCGGCGGTCCTTCCCGGCCCGAAACACCTGACACAAATGAAAGAATGACAACGGGGATAGCGTCCCACTCCGTCCCTAGTCCTGCGTCCCTGCCCGGGATCGCGTCGTTGGCCATTTCTACGGGAATCATTCATTCACGTCAATTTTCCTTTATCTCCGGAAAATATTGAAACCTTAAATGACCGTAATAGGAATGTAATTGTATAGTGTGTTTTTTGTTGTTGTTGTTTTTGAGAAATCGATTTGGGCTCAAATAACTCATCCAAGCATGTTACACCAAACCCATTCAAATAGGAAACAGGAGAACTATATTATTGCTGCTTCCTGAACGCTCTGCTTATGATCCCAATAATTAAAATGTCGAGTAATGGCTCCTGCAGCCTGGATTTCTTTGGGTAATTCTCGGAAATGAAGGGCACATTTTCGGTCGCGGAGGGAGGGGAGTGCGGAGACGAGCAGCAATTGCACGGCTGGGAGCCCGCCGGTGGCCCGCGCCCGGCGCATCACTTCGGGGGAAAATTATTCCGGCGGCGGGGAAGTCCCCAGAGAAGGGATTTCCTTCCCGGTCCCTCCGGCAAATCAACTTTTTTTCCCCCCCCCTCATGGCGATGCTCTTCCCTCCCTCTCTGCCAAGCGCCGCGAGCCGCACATCTGTCTCTGCACAAGGCGGAGAGACGAGAGGGTCGGGCCAGGGGAGTGGGGGGGAAAAGCCTTCCCCTTCCTCCCCGGGCAGCGCCAGCCGAGCGTGGGACCCTCCTTGCAGCTCGGCAGTGGAGCTTGCCCCCCACGCCCCGCGGCTTCAATACACGCAGAGTGGTCACGGAGCTGCTGGTTTCCCCGGGGGGGGAGCCTTGTGTAATGAGAACAATATTAACAATCCTTAACAAAAAAAAAAAAAAAAAAAAAAAAAAAAAAAAAAAAAAGAAAAAAAGAAAAGAAAAGGAAAAGACAAAGAAAAAGTTGATTAGAAAAAATAAAAGGAGGGGCTGGGAAAAAAAATAGGTACTTATATTCTTAAATCTCCGCGGAAGTGGGGGGTTCCGCGCCAGGGCTGCTCCGCCTGCGCGCTCAGAGCCGGGCGGCTCCGCGGGGGCCTGCGCCCAGCGGCGGCCCCGGGCTGCGCGTGGGGTGAGCCGGCCCCGAGGAAAGACCCGGAGCAAAGCCGTGGGAGAGCCCAATAAGACCGGGGACCCCCACCCCACCCCTAACTGCTCTCCTCCGCTTCCCTTCCCACGTCAGGTAAAACTTTACTGTGGCGAACATCCTTTTAGGTTTGTGCGGTGGGGTTTATCTGCGTGTTTGTTTGATTGTTGGGTTTTCTTTTTATTTTTTTTTTTTTTTTGGGGGGGGGGGGAGTGTGAGTTGGTGTTTATGAGAAGCTTTATGACTCCTGATAAGCTCATCTTTGAGGACGACACAGAACTGTGTTCCTTGAGGAATTGGGGTGGTGACGTCTTTTCTGATACCCGATTATTACGTGACTGAGAAAAAAAAAAAAAGGCATTTGATTCATGAATAAAAATCCGGACACCACTACGGGGGCAACAAACAATATTGTCCGTCCTCTAAGGTAACAAGCAGGCAAATGTTTACGAAGAGGGCTCTTGCTGAAGCGGGGTGTTTGCAAAGATTTTCTTGCTAATTGCGTATCAGACGGAAGGCTGCGGAAGGCTGGTCAAGTTTGGAGCCACCGAGCAGGAAAAGAAGAGAAGGCTGAAGGCGCTCAGTGAGGGGAGAGATCTGGGGAAGACAACATCGCACGCAGCCAGCCCGTGGCTCCCGCCTCCGCTCCCTCCCGGACTCGTTCCCTCTCTTCCCTCTTCCCCAGTGCTCGGTTCTCCGGCGACATACCGCTCCATCCCTCTTTCTCAGTTCCCCTGTAGACTCCACTCCAGATCTGTGCTGCTGCCTGCAAACTTTTTTCCTTTATCTTTTTCCCCCCCCTCCTGTCTTTCTTTTTCTTTTTGGAGTGGATTGCCCTAAAACCAGCAAACAACTAAGCTGCCGCTTCTGCATCTTCTGCATCCTGACGGTTCTTCGCCCATCGGAGAGGGGATGTCACGAGGGTTTTAACTCCTTTTGGACGCAACTTGGGAGAGAGCTCGATTTCTCCCCCTCCCTATTTTGGGTCTTTATTTCTTTTCGACCCCCCCAAGACCTGCCGTTTTAGTTTCGCAGCCAAACGCTCTCAGTGCCGGGTGTCTAGAGTTTAATGGTAAGGACACGAGGTGGCTCGCCGGGCCTTCCCGCAGCGGTCCCGGGGCGGGCGGGCAAGCGGGCACCGACGGGGCGGGCGGCGGCCGCAGCTCTCTGAACCGGGCACCGCTCTGCTCCTCTCCGTGCCGCTCCGCGCCGGCACCCCGTGCCCAGGGCGCTTGTCCCTCGGGGCCGCGCTGCCTCATTTTCCGGTAGGCGAGGCCAGGGGTTTGGTGAGCCGTGGGGTGGTTTCTTTGGGTTTTTGTTAGTGATTTTTTTTTTGTTTGCTTTTTTTTTTTGTTTGTTTTTTCCCTTTTTTTTTTTTTTGGTGGATTTTTTTTACAGCAGTTTCCTTTCCCTCCCGCACAGAGTGGCAATGTGTAGCAAAGCGATCTTAGCACTCCTGGTCTATGGCATAATAATGCACTGCAGCGTCTACTGCTCACCTGCGGCCGGACTTCAGTACCCGGCGCTCAGGTAGGTCCGTCAGCTGTTCGGGAGCTCCGTCGGGACCATTTATGCCCCTCTCAGCCCCAGTTTAGCTAAGGGCAGCGGAATATTACTAGGGAGGAAAATGAGAGGTGATGTGGAGTAGAGTCACCAAAGGAAATCCCCTCCTCTTGGGCTGTGTGCCCACCCCCTCCACCGCAGCATAGGACCCCCTCCGGCTGCAGCACGGGCATTCCCCAGGTCCGCTTCTCGGGACCCCGGTGCTGTAACCCACGGCTTCTTGTCCCCGGTGGAGTCCCCGGGAGTGGGGGACTCTTCTACGTGTCGGTGGGAGCGGGCCGAGGTCCCGGTTGCATGTCGATGGGGCCCAAAAGCTCCTCTGCCGCCTGCCCCCTGTCCTGCGGGGCCCTTGGCACTCTCCGGTTGCCCGCAGCTAGTCCAGGGTGAGCGCCGGGCATCGCCTGTCCGGCTCAGGGGAAGCGGGGCGCGGGCATGGGTGCGCCGCTGTCTGCAAGCATGTGGGAGCTGTCATGGTTCGTGCAGTGGCGTTGGAGCTCGTGGGGATTCGGTCTCTCTCCCTGTTTACCTGTCTGTGTATGACAGCCCTTCTCAAGAGGGAAAGGGGCTGGTACAAGGTTGTTTGGTTTTCTGTATTCGGAGTTGTCTTGCTGGGCTCCAGCGCAGGCTAATGCCTGTGCTGTCCCTTTCCAGCTGGGAGCCGTGGGTGTTTGAATCTCTCTGCGTTTGAGGCAGAAGTGGAGGACACCCAGAGGCACCAGCACAAGGGAGTTTCCTACGCTGGTCTGTGGCTGGGGGCTCAAGGCATCTGGTCCGGGACGGCCGATGGCAGCCTGTTCTCATCCTGCTTGTCGCCTGCTCGGGCGACCGGTGCTGCTTGGCTTGGGGGGAGTTTTGGGCTCGGTGCTGTCGTCCTGCTCCACCGGCGCTTGGCTCTGTTCTGGGGTGCCCTGCGGGGGTCACTACCGTGCGGTGAGCGGAGATGAAGTGGGGGGGGGCGATGCCAGGAGCACAAGGTTGTCCGAGGTGGGTGTCCTTTTTGGGGCTCCGAGGTGTCCTTGCAGTAACCGGGAGCCCGTTGGGGCTGGCTCGGAGCAGCCCCCGTCATCTTCCTGGGCAGTGCGGCTAGGGGGCAGCGGGCTCGGTGGCCTGAGGGGCCATTAGCCGGCAGCAAGCCGGCTTTCTTCATTCAAGCGCCTGAATTAGCAGGAGTGAAACACTTTAGCGGCATCTATTATTAATACCTCCGCTAAAGCTCACAGACAAAAATAGCTGCCTGTAACGTGCAATGACCTACATCGTACTGCAGAGAGGGAGGCAGAGAGCGGGGGCTGGGGGGCTGGGACACACACAAAACTGGCGAGATCTCAAAGGGCAGAGGCACCGTTCAACGAAAATTAACGGGCGAAGCCCCCCCGTCCCGGCGGGCGCTGCGGGGAGGAGCGGGGCGCGGTCCCCGGCCCCGGCGGCGGGGCTGCCGCTCACCGCCCCGTCTCCGCTGCCGAGGCTGCTCGGCTCCAGCCCAGCCCCTGGCACACGAACGCGTGTGTGCGCGGCAGCCTGCGCGCCTGGGCGTGCGCTCCGCTCGGGAAGCACCAGCCGCGGCTGTGGAAGAGAGGGGATATTTCTCGGGCCGGGGCGTGGGCCGCAGAGGGCGGGGGGAGGGGGGGGGCATGTTTGGGGGGTTTCTTGGAGCACGGCTGACGGCGGGTGTGTTCCCTCCTCCGCGGTCCTGCCCCGCAGAGGAGAGGGCGGGGATGGGGAGCGGGCGGGTGCAGGGAGGGGATGGGGCAGTCGGACGGGGCTCCCGGGGCTCCCGGGTCGGCTCCGCCGAGGGGTGGCCACCGAGGCAGCCGGAAGCCGGCAGTGGGGAGCGGAGGGGAGCGCCCCGCGGAGCCCGGCTGACTCCTTCTCCTTGCTGCTCTCGTTGCCAGGCTGGAGGATGAAGTCTACGACGAGGACGGGAACACCCTGCAGGACTTCGCCTACGACCACGAACCCCTCGGTATAGCGAATCCGTCCTCCATGATCGGCGAGATGTACACCTTGTATTACCCACCGGAAAAGAGGTGACTGCAACTCGCGGGGGTGTCAGGCGCGAATTTGGAGTAGGGAGATAAACGGGTCTGGCAGAACCGATTGGGGGAAAAATAGTAATGATACCTAACAAGCAAACAGCAACAAGAACAAAATAAAAATCCCGAACCCAAACGAACGACAGTACTGCCCAGATCCCGGTGCCCAGTGTAAAGCTCAGAAGAAATGGAAAAGCCGCCTTACCTCCAGCAGCGCGGGGGAGGGAGCGGGGGAGCCGCCCGCGCCGAGGAGGGCTAGCGATGCTCCCGCAAACGGAGCAGAAATGCCCAGCCGGCGCGGAACCGAGCCAGCGCGGCGGGGAGGGATCTGGGTGGGGACGAGGGGTCCCGGGGGACGCGGGGAGATGCCGCCCTCCGCTCGCCGGCGGAGAGGGATGGTCACCGCTACCGCCCGGGCTCCCGCAACCCGCCGCAGCCGGCTCCCGGGCCTCGCCGCTCACCCGCGGGCTCTTCCCTCTGCCCAGGCACGCCGATGGGATCTTCAACAAAGCCTACAGGAAACTCCTAGGCCAGTTATCTGCCAGGAAATATCTGCACTCCCTGATGGCCAAACGGGTCGGGTAAGGCTCTCTGCTTGGTCTTTTCCGCGGTGGGCGTTGGTGCTGCTGGAGCAGAGACGCTGGAAGCGCTGCGGCTGGGGGGAACAAAGCTGCCCCAGCCGGGAATGTGTTGTACCCGTGATGAGTCTGGTGGAGTCCGGCTCCCCAAGCACTGGCCACCCCCGGCCGCTCCCTGCTCAGGTTGTCAGCGCGGGTGTTCGCGGAGGTTTGTTTGGGTTACTACGCTCGGGCATAAGGATATGTATATAGATATACATACACACACATGCATGTCTGTATATCTATATCTATATCTATATCTATAGCTATCTACCTATAATGTCGCTATAAATTTTTATAATCAACCGATTTAAAATTAGCAAGTTGGGCAGCCCTTACGGTTTGCCGGGGGGAGCAGCTTACGGAGAGCGATGATCGAGGGCTCAGCTGCAGTAGTGGAGGCTCGGTTGCAGCCCTGCGCACCCCCAGCCGCCGGGCGGGGCTCCCCGGGGCTCCCTGCCGCTGGCGGGGGGCAGGGGCGAGCCCGGTGCCACCCGCTGTCCTTCGGCAGAAGGTAACACGTTAATGAAGCCCCAGGGAGAGCAGCTTTCGCGGCCTTAATGAATAATTCATGGCGGGGAGATATTGTCTCTCCCGCCGCCGCCACTTGCGCGCACAGCGTCGGGACCGGGTTTCGGCGCGGCCTTTGTCTCCCCGCGCATCTTCCGCGCAACGTGTTGCGCCGGGGGCAGCGGCGGGCGCGGGGCCGCGCAGGGCAGGGGCGGTGCGGAGGGGCGCGGAGGGGGGCGGAGCGGCCCCGCCTGATGCAGCTGTGCTTCTCGGTGCTTGCAGCGGTGCCAGCGGCGGCCTGGGGGACGATGCGGAACCGCTGACCAAGCGGCACATAGACGGCATCTTCACGGACAGCTACAGCCGCTACCGGAAACAAATGGCTGTCAAGAAATACTTAGCAGCCGTCCTGGGGAAAAGGTATAAACAAAGAGTTAAAAACAAAGGACGCCGAGTAGCGTATTTGTAGCGATGTGAGTAACCAGCCACTCCTGTGTATACAAAGTCCTAAGAGAGAGAGAGAGAGAGAGAGAGAGAAAGAGAGAGAGAGAGAGAGAGATAAACCCAACAACAACAACAAAAAAATCTAAACAAAAACAAAAGTCATTTCCAAACTGACTGAACAATCACCGCTCCTGTGTTATCTAAACATGTATTTATGTATGAAGTAAAGCCATTAAATGAATATTTTGATAATAATATTGTTTTTCTTTTGTACAAAAAGCACTAGAGAAACGCACAGATCTACTTTGTGGACCAATCATTAAGTTATATATAATATATAAATATATATATATAAATACTACTAAGAATAGTAAAGAACAATTCTTCATGAAAAGCCTGCACAAGAACAAGAATTCGCCTGAGCTGTTTATGTTTTTATATAAAATAAATAGAAAAAAAGAGACAATCATTGTTTTGAATATTACTCCTATTTTTGTAACAGAAATTAAAAGGATAGTATTTTTATCCGCGACAGGGTCGAAGACATTAATTTTCACCATTTGCTACTGTACATAGAGAAGGATGACCTGCTCCCAGGGGGATTATGAGGAAATTGATTTGGGAGAATTGGTGAAGCAGATTCTTCCCCTGGTGAGTCTTAAGGCAGGCTCCTTTGCCACTAGCCTCTCTAAAGGGGCAGCGTCCCCTTTCTTCTAGATTTCGATTATTTTTTTTCTCTCCTGCTTTCTTTGATTCCAGTTGTATCTCTATTAGTGTATCCTCAGACAATGAGCTTAGAGGATAATTATCTTGTGAAAACAACAGCTCGATCCAAATTTTGCATCTCTGTTGCCTATTGGAGGGAGAAATAGTTAAAAACCCCCAAACTAAAATAATAATAACAACAAAAGAAATTAAATATAAAACCAAAAATAGCCAAACTCAAAACCCCAACCCCAAAATCCCGAACCAGCAGCAAGGGTAGTAAGTACTAAGCCCCGTGCACTGCTCTTCAGGCTGTCTGGGCAGAGTTGCAGAACAAAGCCAAAGCAGAGACAGGACCCGTTTGGAAAGAGTGGGGAAGTGAGCGGGGGCGGCCCCCGGCGCGCCCCGGGGCCGGAGCCGGTACCGGAGCCGGTGCCGCAGGGTCGAGGTAAGACGAGGCGATCCCACCTCCGATCCGCTACCCAACTGCCCCGGGCAGCTCGGTACTGGACCTGGATGCAAAGTACAGTGTGTTACTCTCCAGTGCTGTCCATGCTTCTCATCATGTGTAATAATGAGCAGGGTTCTCGCCTTTGCATTTTTCGGTCGGAGTTGCTCTTTTCTTTGATTGCTTTTTCTTGTAGGACCTCCCGCCTCTCATCCTCTCTTCGAACTTTTCCGAGCTCTGTTTAACCCACCTGAGTCACCTTTTTGGGTTATGTTCTTTTTGGAAAAAAAAAAAAAAAAAGATTGTGAACGCTCTCTCACTCCTTTGTTCTGTTTTATGCAAGCTCTTATTGTACAAGTTTAGGAACCCCTGTTGTAGCTACCACTAAAGAATTATGCACTACTACGAAAGTTTTTGTTCCTTGTTTATTGAGTTTGGAGGTAAAATGTATTTTTCTACATTCTGGCTTATTGCTTAGTAAAATTTATTTCATAAAACAAACTTTTGTCATAAAAGAATGTGTAGTGTTCACCTGTGGTCCGGTTTCTAACGAGATAAACCATTTTCACCTCATCTCTCTATGTACGGACTCCTATCTTACCGTCTGCCCGGGGGCTGGTCCCGTCCCCCGCCCGGGCCGGGAGCGAAGGAGGACACGTAGGTACCCGCTTCCTTCCAGCTCACCACACAAACCTTACAGGAGTCTTTCCAAAGACACAAAACGAGCCCCGCATTCAAGACGTCGGAAAGCAACCCCCCAACCCCCCCAACAAACCCTGGCGGGTAAAAGCTTCCTTGCCCGGCCAGGAGGAGCGGAGCGGGCCGGGCCGAGCCCGTCGGGGCGGGCAGGCGCTGCCGGCACCGCCCGCGCTGCCCCGGCGGCTCCGGCCGCGCTGCTCGGGCTGCCCGGGCGCGCTCCCGGGGCGCGGGGACGCGGGGCGCAGTGTGCAGCTTTCGTGCCTTCTCTTCACCTTGTAAATCGCCACGAGTTCACGGATGGCTATTTAGTGGCCCTACGATGCTGCAACACATCGGCTTGCGTTTTAGTCGTCCTTCTGTTCTTTGGCCATGGGCAGAGTGCGCTGTGTTTGTGTCGGCTGTGGTATAATTACATAGGGCTCTCTTGACTTTTTGTTTATGACCTTATCAGTTAGAGTTCAGTGGCTAGTCGCAAGCATTACGAAGTGATCACCTAGGTTATTATCCTTTGTACGATTTCTTTCTTTCTTTTTCCTTTTTTTTTTTTTTTTTTCAGAAACGCCAACAGCCTTACCAAAATTTGAGCAGATTTGAGATACAGTCATAGTAGGTAGATGTTAGTCTTGGAGAACTTATTTTGTGTGCAAATGAATATAAAAAGAACTTAAACAAAGTATTATTACACACATGATATCTATAACTAGGACTTTGATAACTGTTATATAAAGTGTGTAAAGTTTGTATTAATAAATTTTTGTAAACAATGCAATTTCGTCTAATGTTTGGGGGAGAGAAATCTAGAACCTGACAGTGAAAGCTGCATTTCATTTAATTTGTTTTTTAATTAGTTTATTATTAAGCAGAATTCTTCTGCAGTGTTTCATGCCTGGGATATCTTTTCACTGTTTCCACATTTTATCCCCTCTACTCTGTACGAGTAAACTAAGCAGAACTGCCGGAGTAAAGAGCTTAGTCCCACACACATCAGCTCAAAACCCTCTCTAAAATATGCAAACCAAACTAGTCGGCGCCTGCGGTCCATTCCTCTAACAATTCCTGTGCTTAGAAGCCGTTTATTTCAAGCGGAATTGGTATGTTTGATGAGATCTTCTCCTAATCCGCTTTTAATGAACATTCTGTATGCGATAATGTGCTTCCAAGTGTCACCCGGCTTGGGCAACGGCAGCATCTTTCTTTGGATTAAAGATGAACTAGCTGTCCTAAAAAAATTACACTGCAAATTACACGACAAAGAGTTCCTTGAGTTTTTCAGGGTAGTATGTGGCTACAGAAAAAAAGCACAGGGTAGTTTGTCAGCACAAAGTGGAGTCAGAACTTAAATTCTCACTTTAGCTTAGCAACAGCTGCTTATATTAATTATTTCTATTGTAGCTCCAGGACTTTACTCAAGGATGTTGAAAAGTTGTAGCGATTTAGTTTAAACTAAACTCTACTTCTTTCTAACATAGTACAATTAAAAAACAATGCACGGGAATTCAAATGACAATTTCCTAGCAATTTATTTTTCAAAACTCCAAGTCCAGGATTTGAGACAGGCTGGTCATATCCTCTCTGCCATGAATTCACCTTCTAAACTGGTTTCAACAGCAGTGTTTCACTGACAAACTGGAAGATGTCAGAGGTACATACTAGGAGTTACTGCAAAATGAGATAAAAGTGTTGATTAAATGCAGACCAGGTCAGAGAAGAATGCCAACCCCCCATGCCCCGCAAAACATACCTATTGAGGGGAGGGGGAGATGTGAGTGATTTCCCGGACTTACAGCATAACGAAATCCAGCCACTGTTTCCCAAAACCAGCATGCAGCAAACACCTGCTCTTAAGCTTATTCAGGGCTCACACATATAACCAAACTACATTTCCTGCCCATCAAAACTGACAATGTGATTAAGACAATCAAGCTGAATACCTTCTTCGTGTTGGTAGCTAGAACATGAAACTTAGAATTGGTCCACCTGAAAAGTAAGGTCTTCATCAAGTCCTGGTATATGTTGAAGATGTGCAAAAGATGGAAATTCTGCTGTAAATCACATAGAGATAGTTCTAGCCTCACTCTACTGAAATTCCTCTTTACCAAATCAAAGTACAATTTAATGGAAAAGCTCAGCTCAGTTCCCAGTGATTTAAAGTGCCATCTTAAATTATACCCTTGGAAAATGTGCAGTACTGAGTCTTACAGTAGGAGTTTTGTGGGCATTACTGGAGTTCTGTATGCTGCTATACACCTAGGAGCAGAAACGGATAAAACTGGTGAGGAAACAAGAATGATGGCAAGACATGGTTTTGGAGCCTCACAGGAGGTAAAAACCTCCTGACATTCAGTCAAAGTGATAAAATCCAGTTATGTAGTAAAGGAGGCTGTGGATTCCACCCCTTGGAAATGTGGTACAACACCACATCTGTCACAGAGCTACATAGGTCATCAAAACCAGAAAAGCGAATTTCTACAAAGTCCTGTTGTAAACGCAGATGCAGCCAGTATCTGCCTTTCACAAGATTTGCTTGTGAGCGAGTTGACCTCCTCTCCATGTGCCTTCAGAACCTTTCAGTCTTCTTCAAAACACAAAGTTTGTCTAATGTCTGTACATGTTCTCACCTAGAATTAAGGAAAATAGGAGAACAGGAGGAAATTTGATCTTTTGGGGGCTTGCTACTTCATACCTTTGCAGCTTGCTTTTCAGTTATAGGACAAATAATTTTGTCTTCAGGAAAAACCTTCAGGGAAATCTCATCCTGAAAAATGTAAGGACCTCTAGAACTACATGTCCTCTGAACTACACTCATGGATTTTTAAGAGCCAAGTGGACTCCTATGATCATCTACTCTGTTTTAGATAATACAGGGCATAGGATTTCATACACTCCTTCATCCAGCATTTCATTTCTGAATGAACTATTCTGTATGACAGCAGTATTGATTACAAGGCTAGCAGAGATGGCAAATTTACTGGATAAGTTGTTCCAAATGTGGCAGTTTAGCACTCTGTTCTTTGTCTCATTTTTGAGTCCAAGAGATTTGTAGCCAGCTGAAGAATCTCTAATGCCTGTAGATTTCCCTCTCCACATAGGTAGTCTTAGGCAGAGATTTGCTTTCCTCTGTGCCCTTTCTTTGAGGTAGTGAAGTTGATCTTTAAGTGCTCAGCATGAGGGAGATTTTCCTCAGGTGGCACTATCTCTGAACCATTTGTATTTATTAACATCCTTGCTAACTTGTTGAGACTAGAGATGGTTGCAGTACCTAGCAACGACCACCTTGAAGATATGACAAAAAGTAGCAACTTCTTCTTTAAGTCCTCCTTCTGCAGGTGCTGCTCATTGCAAGGTTTGCATTTGCTCTCTTGGCCATTTTGTCATGCTGTGAGATCACAACCTGTTGATAA